AGTGGTTCAGGGGTGGATACACAGCTGATGTCTTCTCTTTCCCTCATTGGCCTCTTCAACACAACCCTGAAATTGAACCTTAATCTGTGTGGCTCGTGTACCCAAAGGGTAAACTCTACACAGATGACTGACATTGTTAATCAGTGTAGTTACTGCTTGTGGCTTTTGTATATTATCGTAATTTTAAGCAGATAATTCATTTTTAGACTTTGCTGCAGCCCACAAGACGTGGAGAGCAGTGTGGGTGTGGTTAAGGTTGCGTCACACTGAGTTGGTGAGTTATATTTAGAACCTGTATATAAGTTGTGCTCTGACTATGCCCAGTTACCAGACGGAGATTGACGCGCACTGCTCACCAAACCACTTACCAAGCAAATGAGGTTATTTAACTGCAAAGAAGTTTAGCAACTTTCCTACTAGGGAGTATTGTTATTGGTGTCCCAGAGCATTTTTATTTCGTAGCATCTGGATTTTTTTGAAGATTAGAATGTCCAAAGTCAGTTCTTAAGACTTGATTGCTCATTTTGGATGAATGTGACGACTTTGTGCAGAGGCCTGAGTTTTGTACACAGCCATTTTAAGTCCTGATAGTTTATGTGCTGAGGGGCAGCTGCCTGCCTTGGTTTCTTGTTTGTGTCCTGACCAACTATCCCCATTTGCTTCATGGCTGTTTGTGGGACAGTTGCTCTGCACAACCTGGCTGGAGTGTTCACCTACAAATGTAGGGTCACTTCACGGGTAATCCTGTGAGATGTCCTCCCGGCATGAAAGGTACTTATCCAAATGCAAGAATACNTTTTTTTCCCAGAGAGGCTTCATTTTTGCCCTTCTGCCCTGCTCCTAGTCACCCACTGGTAACTTGCCACTGTGTGTGTGTTGGCGAGCCATTGGATGGATCCTGTCCCAGTACAATGTCCACATGCATGGATTTTCCAGCAGAATAACTGGTTTGTTGAATAACTATTCTGTCTGATTTAGGATCCCCTTCCCCTCCCCAAGTGCCATTGTAACTGGGATCAGCTAACTCAGTACAGCTGGCTCACACTTGGACCTTCCTAGTTACCGCTCAGCGTTTTGCATTCACTGCACACATGGACGGAAAGCCAACTCCCATCTGTTGACTTTTCGCACGCTTAAAAAATGGCAGCCTTTGGGGTCATCAGTTCACTGTTGATGTTGTTTCCTGCAGCACACGGGAAGTGATGACAGAGTGTTGTCACCAGTCAGCTCTTTAAGACCAGAAGAGCCGGCTGGTGTTTGTGTGTGAACTTTTGACTATTTGGTAAGAAAATTTTGGGATCCACACCTCAACTGTACTAGAAGTGAACTTTCATTATCATGAAGTGCATTATAACTGGGCTTTACTGTATATAATTTAAGTTTGCTCAGTCACACATTTTCAGGCTGATTTTAGGAAGTGGGTATAAACAGTTTGCCTCTCTCCTCTTGACTATAATGCAGTTGAACAGAAATGCACTGATCATCAGCACAGAGTGAGGTTTTCTGAGCCCCTTCTGACAGGCCTGGGTTTGAGATCCACGTGGTTTACAAAAAATATATAAATTCACCTTTTTTTAAAAAGTGATAATTGCTTTGTTACAAGAAAGCTTGACTGCAAAAGGTTAATTTTCTGTGCCAAATGGCTCTCTGCGATTGAATAAAAGACCTTGGTTTATTACTGCAAAGTATTTTTAAGGTAGATTTATTTTTACATTAAAAATATCAAAATGACTAAAATGCTGGATTTTCAGCCGAGGAGTGTCTAGAAAGCAGTGGTGCGCCTTAATGCTGGAGATTTCTCTGGAACGAAAGCTTCCTTGACTGAGCCAGGATACCATCCCTTTTAGTACTGCATGACTCTCTCCTGGCAAGCAGAGCAAAAACAGGCATTGTCTGCACATACGGAAATACCTTCAGGCGAAACCACCCCCCTTTCCTCTCCTGACTGAGGATGGGGGAGGGAATCAAGGAAAAAGAGCTTCTGTCCATTTTCTGTGTGAGCATGCGCCTGTGTAGTCGCAGCTGATTGAGCTTCTGTACCTCTCTTCACCGCCAGGGTTTGCTCAGCCACCACTAAACAGCAGCTGTTTGCTGCAGAGCCATCACTGTGCAGGAGTGGCTCTGTTGAACACTGGCTTTTTGTTTGGGGGGATTCTTACCTCGCGTTTCAAAACCGAGCAGTTTTGTTGCCATTCAGCCAACAGTTAACAGTTGTGAACATGGATACTAGAGGCTTGATTGGTCATTAAAATGTACCTTTAAACACAATTTCGGTCACCTTACTTACCTGCAGTAAAAGCTGACACTCCCTCACTGTAGTGCTGGTGGAGGGAGAGAATGAACCAGAGGTGAGAGCAGGCTATTCACTGACTTGCTGGTATTGTAGATAACACAAGTGCAGTGAAGATGTGTTTGAGTGAGTAACTTGATATGTTGGCCCATTAACAGTGGATTTCTGCTCTGCATTCAAAAGGCATTTTCAATAACCTGAATGTTGGTGGGTTTCCACCCACTGTGGGGTTTGACCTTTAGTGCCGTTTGCCTCTAGAGATCACCAACGTTACAGATGCAGCGTTCTCATTTTATACCGAACATCATTAGTGAAGAGTTGCCACTTAACATGGCCCTCCTGGCTCCTGTGCAAATGTCTTCTGTTGTCAGCAATTTGTCATCTTCCAGATGTCTGCGTCTGTTCCCTAAACTTTAAAAATAAATGATTTCTTGCCCATTAAATTTTGTCAGTTAAAATCAGACTTGAGGCATTCTAATGTTCTTCCCAAAAGTGATTGGTTCCTAGTAGGTTTATTTTCAGCTAAAATCTTCTTTCTCTTTCCCTGTCTTCACCTGGTGTGCATTTAGAGCAAATGAGGATCTTGTGTGGAGCGTTATTGAATGGTTGCATGAGCCCTGCACCATCATTGCAGAGTCTAATGAAGTAACTGCAGTCTCTCTTGATGCCTCCCTTGGTAAAGAAAGTGTCCATAGTGGAGTGGAGCCATGCACACCAGCAAGGAAGGGTTCAGGTCATATCCTGACTCGAGGTTGCGGTATTTGCTAAGGGAGGAGAAAACAAGCCAGAGTTTCAAGTCCTAGTCGAGGTTAAGTGTGTATGTAATGGAGGACAAGAGCAGTCGCCGCTGTGATGCTCTGACGGTCATATAACCTGTGGCATTTACCGCTTTCGCATGAAGAATGACGGCTGGTATCTGAGGCTTGGGGAGACTGTTGGTGCCTGTAACAGAGCAGCCCAGCACAAGTATCTGCTTCGTGGAAGAAAGCAATAGATTTTAATTCAGCCCAGGATATTTTCCATTTAAATCTTATGCAAGCAAAAATAAGGCTTTTCTGCCAACGAGAGCACTTTTCATTTTGAATTGTGGAGTTTTGACAGAAAATTCTGAATATCAGACTGAAAAATAAAACTTTGCACAGTAGAGTAAAAATAGTAAGTTATACACATCCCTGCTTTCTTTGTTCATAAAGACAAACACAAACTGAACCTCTCGTACGTTATGGCCTCTCCCATGGTATTTGTATTCCATGGTCATTGACTAGGGATTTAATATGTACAGTATGGCACCAATATAAATCAAAATAAAATTCACCCTTGTGAATTATTTTGATTGCAGTGAATTGCTTTAGGAGTAGTTAATAAAAGAATAAGCAGAGGATAATTGATGCCTTACCATGAAATGCTATATATCTTCCCTTGTGAGACTAACTGCATAACACGCTTTTTACTGTCAACTCTCATGAGTGGAAATATAAAAACGTATTTGGGGAGCTGCGGATTATCCGGCTTGTCACACTTGCTGTACTGGGTTATATAAATCCCTTTAAAACAGCTTGAAACCCAGGACAATCGGTGCCTCTGCCAGATCATTGTGTCGTGGAGAATAGTTAATGTGAGGGAACAAAAGCTGAGGTCCTTTTGCTGGTCATGTGGTGCTGTGGACAGCCACATGATAAAATCCCAGCATTGGGTAAGCTTGAATCTTAGTATCTAGGGGGAGAAATGACAACTGTGTTGTACCTTTGTCTGTCAGTTAGACCGGAGGGTGTCATGAACACATTTTATAAGCTACAGGGCCTATAAAACTGTACGACCGACAAAATTCACCCCTGCAGACAATCCTCATCAGGCTTTACTTTTTAAAAGCATTGCCTCAAGAACATTGTTAAAAATAAGGTTTTCCCACCTGTGCGCAATCTAATAATACAATGGCCTTTCCCCATGGGTCTGGGTTTCACTTAGGAAAGCTTTACTCCTGCATATGGTATGTGGTATTTTCATTAGCAGCGAGCCTTAAGGCTAAAAATCTTGTTCCTCAGTAACTGAACAGGGGTGGCTGTGGCAGATGTTCCTCGGGGCTGTGTTCAATAGGGGCTGTATCATGGTGTGGAAGCCATATTGTAGTTTCTGCCTTCGTAACCCACTGGGCTCACCAGATGCAGCCAAAGTGCTGGTCATGGTATTGAGATTTAATGCGTACGTTAAGCAGCATTACTTTGGGCTAATGTTTTTTATTGAGTTTCTTGTATCTAGGCTTCCCTTCAGCAAATAAATTGTCTCTTAGGCAAAGTGTGCTAATGCAGTGTTTTGAATTTTTCCAACGCAGCAAACGAGTGTACGGGTAAAAGAGCAGGGTGGGAAAATTAGTTGTTCCTTTTGCCCTTCTGTAAAAGCACCCACACAATAAAGGGGGTACAACTGTACTAGCAGGTGGGTGAAATCTCATAAAGTGAACGGCTCTGATCACCACGTTTTCCTCCCTGACCCTTACAAACATTCCATTTCACTGCATGCGCCTGGTATTCTATAAAAGACTGAACTAAGTTAGTCCATGCAGCTGCTTTGTATTCCCAAACTAAATAAGATAGAAATAACTTAGTTTAAAATCAATGCATTGTATTTAAACAGGACCCACATAAAGTAGTTTTCTGCATTCACCTCAGAGTTGATCCTTCATTAATCACTTCACTCACTGTTTCCCTCTCAGGAAAGCTGCAGGAAATGCCAGGTGCTGTGGAAGGACCATATTGGGTTGTCATGCGAGCAGGTGGTTGAAAAGGATGAAATCAAATTCAGGACCTCATTGTAAGTAACCCGTTGTGGTGACTGAAATTATGATGGAAAAGATGGGACTTGAGGTGGGCTGTGAAGGTGAGAAAGGAGGGGCCCATGTAGGATGGTGAGCCAGTGCAGCTGAGTGAGGAAGGGGGTTGATTGGCTCACAGAGTCTGGTGCAGGAGAGGACACTAGCGACAGAGTTCTACAGTAGATACTTTACCCCTTGTGTCAGGAGAGCTGAGTGTCTGGTGAGCAGGGCTTTGAGATAATTGAGTTTTGGTGTGGACGAGGGTCTCAGCAACGAGAGGTCATGGGGAAGGTGGGTCATGTTGTGGCGGTGAGGGAGAGCTGAGCGAGTAAGGACCCCAATGTAGGGCTTAAAGGACAGTTGCGGTCAAACAACACTAACTTGAGTGAATATCCATGTAAGAAAGAAACCAGTGGGGAGAAAGCACTTAAAATGTGAGAGAATCGTGTTATAATTAAACAAATCTCGACTTAACTGTCAAGGCACACAGGTATCTGCATTGTCTACCAGAACTCTGTTGCTGACAGTAATTAAGGTTGTTGGCACCATTGGCACCCAGCCAAATTGAGCCATTTATTAAGATGAAGTTCTACATGGGTGAAAGGGTTAAATAAATGGTTGAATGCAGGGAAGTAATTAATCATCAGACTTTCAAAATTGCCTCAGTTACCTTGTGGCTGCTGCCCTGCTCAAGGTTTCCTGTTTGTGCTTTCACGTGTGGAGTGACTTAATGATTCCGTGAGGTTTTATCTTTAGTGTTTAAATTTCCATCTATAGAACCATAAGAATTTATGGCACAGAAGGCCATTTGGCCATCATGTCTGTGTGGCTCTTTTAAAGAGCAATCCTTTCAGTTCCATTTACCTGCATTTTTCCCCACCTCCCCCTCCTGTAGTCCGCAAACTACACACAGTCACACACTACACATTATATCCTGTGAAACGCTTTGCGATATCTAACAGCATGATGAGGTGCAACATCAAATACAAGAATTACTATAGTTTCCTCCTTAGTGTGAACCATCTCCTGAAATATTTCAGTATGAAATTTAGCAAATGTGACATCCAGATAATCTGCAAGTTGTTAATTCCATGAGATAAATTTCCCTTCTGGTCCTTTTCTCAAGAAGTTCGCACAAGCTTCCTCACTGACATATTTACTTTTACACTCTGAGGGAGAGGGTGTGAGGGGGAATGAACAAGGGAATGTAATCAAAGTACATGACTCCTGTGGGGATGTTGTCACCGACACAGGCTGGATGGCATCCTTTGATTATCTTGACTCCCCAGTTATTGATACATCTGACAGTCACTTTTAACATTACACCAATGAATAGGATTAGAGTTGGCCTATGACTGAATTTAAAGTGATTTCATGCTCCTGACATTTTGTCGCTTAATGATGGGGCTCAAATGTCAACATTACGACATATTTTAAAATAATAATAATAATCCTTGCATTTGATATAGCGCTTTTCACGTCGGGAGGACGTCCCAAAGCGCTTCACAGAACACACTGTAAAGTGAATTGACTGTATATTTGTGGGCGAACGCGGCAGCCAATTGCGCACAGCAATGTCCCACAAACAGTCGTAGATTGAAAATGACCAATTTATTATTGTTTTGTTTTTTGAAGGGATTATTATTAGGCTCTGTGTGGAGTAAGGAAACTTGCCCAAGGTTTCACCCTGTCTGGAATTGAACTCAGGTCTCTCGCTTGCAAAGCGAGTGCTCTAACCACTGAGCTACAGGACTCCACAGAGTAAATTGGATATCAACAACGACAAGATTACATTTGTATAGCAGTGAGGCTTTACTAAGAATCTGGTTAAGAAATGGGACATTCAGCGAATGTATTTGTTCTGGAAAAGTATTCAGGAAGGAGGGAGAGATGCAGTTTAGGATGAGATCACCATTTTACACTTGTTAAATGTTTGTCTAATGGAGTTGGAAAGATGGATGGCCTTGAGGGAACGATGTTAAAGTAGTAGAGGGTAAATCAGAGTAATCCCTCAATGAGATGGTGTAAAATACTCAGCTAATACTCTGAAGGTCTTTAGTTGCATATTGGCAACATGCCAAGCACTGTTACAGTGTCTGCTTGACTGACTTGAACCTTAGTCTTATGGGAGTAAATTAAATGGATCCATCTTGATGTTTAGGGTTCCGAAAATGCACATTCCAGCCATGTGGGGCGAAAAAGTAGTCGACTGTGGGATCTTCAGAGCTGTGCAGCTAATGTTCAGAAGATAATTGCTAGTTGACTAGGGGAGAGGGAGGTTTTTCATGTTTTCCAATTGGATTTAAGACAATGATAAATGGCCCTGGGATGTTACCCACTCTTAGACATTTGTACAGTGTATTTGGAGACTGTAAATGAACACAGGGGTTCAGGAAGCCCGGTGTTTTCCTTTTTTAGGCCTAGAATTGTTTGTGACCCTTAGAAAATGTATATTTTCTGGCTGCGCAGATGTGATAGAGCTTTAGGAAATGGGGTTATGGTTTTACCTTCCTGAGGACGTTAAAGAACCTAGCTGTGTGTCGAATGGGGTTTCCTTTTACTCTTGTGTAGGCCTCCTCTGCATCCTGTTGTATTCGGAGAGGAAGAGAAATAGACCGTAACGGCTGGGAGCAGTGTGGCATGTTCAAACATATGGGTTCCACCCAAAGGAAATCCCTTGCATTTGATGGTCATCATGTTGATGGCTTAAATTTTGTAACATGGGGATACATATCCTTCAAAAAAAAATCCCCCAACAAAATACAGTTCAGTAATACAAGCCTTATATTTATAATCTCAGGGAAACTAAGGCGACTTAATTTCACAGCAACGAAAAGGCATTGCATTCAGTGCTGTTTGCAGGTTTTGTGCCTGGTGTTGACTTCTCATATGGTTAACACAAATGTACATGTTGCGTGGTTTATCTTGTCCATCGCATGGTAATATCTTCAACTCCAGCCTGTTGGTGAAATGTGGCCTTTGTTACTCGAATCTATGCAGACTTGTTCACAACAACAGTTTGCATTTATAAAAGGCCCTTCATGTGGGGTAGTGTCTTGGAGCTCTCAACAGCAACAGAGCTTGATGCCAAGCCGGGAGAGAGGAGATACTTGAAGTGTTCAGTCACTCAATCTCTCAAAATTGTTGTAGTGATTTTTACTTTCCAACCAATGCTTTATTAGTTTGTATCTTTGGGTATTTAACGTGACTCCCTTTTTAAGCAAAGCTACTTAGCAATTCTCAGGAATCGCTCCTGAGTTTGGTAAACCTCAGCGGAGGAGCACAGTGTTAACACTAAACATTGGCAAAAGAATTCTGGAAGCCTTTTCTATAACCTTTCCAGGTATTTGGTAGGAAAGCAAGTTATGTTAATAACTATAATCGAGGTTTTGGGCTCCTCTGCTGGATTGGCACGGTTTAGATTGGATTGTCATTGTTGTTGTTTCTTACTCTCCGCCCTCTTGTGTTACAGCGAGGAGAAGATGACAGCGGCAGCGATCAGGAAGTGCCATAAATGTGCCACAGGCCTAATCAAATCAGAAGGCTGCAATCGGATGTCATGCCGCTGTGGATCACAGATGTGCTACCTCTGCCGGGCCGCCATAAATGGGTATGATCACTTCTGCCAACACCCTCGCTCACCGGGGGCACCTTGCCGTTTGTGCAAGAACTGCTCCTTGTGGACAGATCCTAAGGTAAGATGAGCAGTGTTCATTGTGCTACAGTCAAGCCTGAGCCTAGACCCCAACCAAGTACATAGCAAGGTTATACATACATAGCGCACAACTGCACACTTAACATTTACTTTATTTTTACTCTTTCAAGAGGACTGCATGTTCATGCCTGTAGCTTTTTTGGAAAAGGTGCATACATTTTTATTTTCATAGAAAATTCCATTGAAGTTTTATAGGTTGTAAACCGCCTCACATCCTAACAGCTTCCAGCTTTAAACTGGTCCCAGGGCTTTCTTTGCCTTGTTTTAACCGTGCCTTCACCTCCCCTCTCGACTCTCTACCCCCTCCTCGCTCCCTCCCTTCCCTCCCCTCACCCTGACCATTTCCCCCCTGCTCGGGTCCCAATCCAACTGTCCAGCGCCTTGGGACGTCCTCCCGACGTGAAAGACGCTCTATAAATGCAATCTTATTGTTGTTTTATCTTGCCCTCAAACTGTTTGATTGCATGTCTTGAGACTGTATGATTTCTGTTTTACCTGCAGCACCAGATCAATCGGTTAACCTGCCGCCCATTCATTGATCATTGTTGATGGCTCACAGCACAGAGAGGCTGTTTGGCCACGTACATTACATTGTATTTGTGTGTCAGGCAATGAAAGGGGCTGGAGCTCACATCCAGGTGCTTGTGAACATGGCAGCAGTTTTAATTCCCAACAGAGTTTAATGCCCAAACTGCGGGCCACCTGTTTACGTTTCCAGCGTCTGAGCTGAACCAAAACTCTCTTTTCCAAAACATGAAAGAGCCCTCGAGTTTCCATTCTTCCTAACGATTGCTGAATTCACATTGCAGTGTCCTCATCCAACAAAAAACGACTTGAATCAATAAATTATAAATATAACCAGAAGTGGGTTGGAAATCAGAAACTTTAAAGATCTCCACCCCAGCTGACAGTGTTTTTAATCCTAAAGACCCTGAAGCCAAGCTTGCATTCAGTTTTACATTTTGTGGGATTAGTGTTGCTTTAAGCATTTTATTGACTAAATATGCATCTTCCTAACTTTTGCTGGAACTTTCACCGCCCCCCCACCCACCCCGTCTGAATTAGTCAAATCACAAAAATCCGCAAGCAATAAGTGCAGGGCCTCAGCCCGCGTCCCCAAGGTCAAGCCCACTTGCTCGGGCAGGAGTAAACTCTGACCCGCTCAACCCCCCAAAATGTGTTAAAATAATAATAATAATCTGTAGATCTGCGCTGATCTTATGGTTTGATTTACATCTAATGCGTGATGACATGCTGGAGCCAGGGACTGTAGAGTTGATGATGCCCAAGGAACTTATTCTTTTCCGCTTGCCCAAGTGTGAGTTCAGGAGATGGGCTGAGAGAAACACCCATGTGAAAGTTTGCAAAAAGAGATGTTGACACTAGAGGGCATAACCATACATCTCTGCAAAGTGATTCTGTATACTTGTGAGCTTCATGTATCTAATGATTAAAACAGATCCGTTTCCCTAGTTTAGTGTGGATGGATCACTGGATCGCGATTTAGGAATGGGGAAACCTGGAGTTAGTCTCCTCATTAGCACTGAGATCAAACTATTGGCCACTTCAAGTCAATGTGGTTTAATTTTAAATTAAACCAGTTTTACCAACTGAGCTGTTGAAACAACAATTGTTTTCTTTAAGTGAGACAAAGGGATTACATTCTACCAACAAAAGGTGGTCCTTTATTGTAAGAAGCTGACTAGGTTGAACAAATTCTCCATCTGAAAAAGAAACTCGTGTTAAAGAATATGGTATCTGTTATTAAAGTGTCAGCACATAATCACTGACTTGAATGACTGAAAGCAGCTATGCCAATCGGTCTGATTACAGTCTCCTCCCGTTGACAAGATCCCTCTCCAGAACATCCTGCCTATACACCAATGACCCGGCATTGGGAGGGGAGGTTTAACACTTCCATCTGCAGTCTAGAAACTCGTCCATTTTATAGCCTGAAAGATGGCGGGCGGGGAGTTTTCAAGCAAATGCATTTCTTTTGTTACTTTTCTTCTCGGCACAGATGCTGAGCAGCTGCTCAGCAGCAGATGTACAGCTCTGAGGATCCGTGTACTGCAAGTTCTGCCCCGTCAATTTCCACGTGCAGGGATCATGAACAGGCTGCAAATCCTCCCCTGTCTGGAATAATGTGCAGCAGCACTGGTCATGGGGGGTGGGGGGGAGGTGGGGGGAGGGGGAGAGAATCACTCACAAAATTGCAGAGAACTTCAATATGACATGGGGGATATTAAATGGAGTCTGAAGTCCAGATCACCTTTTAAAACGTTGCTGTATTTGTTTTTTATATATTGCTCACTTTTTCTTATTTCACTTGTTTCCTTGCCCACCCAGAGCTCACTCACTCATCGACCTACCCTGACACATTCTCTCACCCATACACTTCTTATCCACTGACCCTTACATTTATCCACTCACTTTTACACAGCCTCTGTCTGTCTCTATCACTATTTTTCCAAATCGTCATCTGGGAGAATGTCTTCATGAGCTGCTCACTGGCTGAACTGTCAGACTGTTTGAATGATGTTTGAAATGGCTTCTCCTTCAGACAGTACAGTAGAGAATAGCAGCCTCTCCACCCCCCCACCGTGTGCAACGCCTTGTGTGTATTGTATGAGATGAGCCTTTGATTCAGTCTGTTTCTTTAGCTAACCAGCTGTGATTAAGTCCCAAGCATTGCTTCAAACTATTTGTAAGCACATAATTTCAGCACTTATTTCATGCTCTTTGTAGCCACCTGCCTTAAGTGACACCTTTGACTCTGAGCCAAAAGTAATCATTTATTATATGTCTGACTGTACACAGACTGTGAGATTTGGAGCTAATGAGTTTCCCTGTAATTTATCCATTAACTACCTCATTAATACTAAGCCACACATCTACTGTACAATGGAGGTGGTTTAAAAAGCAAGACCTTAGAGTTCTATGGATGATCTCAAAAGCCCTTTTGTTTTATGCACTGATCATTAAACAAGAGCGGCTTTGGCTTAGTCAATTCACTCTCGTCCCCATTCAAGAGAGTTATAGAAATGTATAGCACAGTAAGGAGACCATTGAGCCTGGCTGGATTCCACATGCTATACATTGTGAATATTTGTTCTAGGCTGAATTGGGTGTCTTTGGGTGAGGTACTGGAGGTTGACGCAGGCCCATGGAACACAATCACAGTAAAAGAGTTAGTGCCTTCAGGAGAGAGAGAGAAAATGAGCAAAAAAGGCACATCTTCCCTGCTCGAGGGCAAATGTTGGCTGATTTGAACAGAAAATGCAGCTTAAAATGTTGCTGAGTTTTTGGAGGAACATCTGACTTACTTAAAGCTGTTATAATGCAACTGTTTGTTTCAGAGCATAACTTCCTGTTGAAGTTGCTGCATTCTGGAGAATAAGCAGCTGTATAGAGTGTTGTGTAGAGGCTATTTGTTGAGTATAATAAAATATCCTGTTGACGCTGAACAGAAATTAAATAGCCAAACAAGGGGTATAGCCTTTCTTCCTCTGAACTCAACAGTCCAGTTGGCAATGAACTTATAATTGATTTCATTATATGGTTGACCTAAGATTTATTTGTAAATGTTTGTAAGTTCTAAAATGGATCAACCTGTAAAGCTACCTTAATAATAGTGTTGCATCTATGAAGATGAAATGTCTCATTAAAGTGCTTCACCACAGGTAATTGCTGTTAGTTGTAGTGACTCTCTGTAGCAAATACAGCAGCTAAATTGCACAGCATAGTGTCCCACAAACAGCCATTACTGAATGATGAACTGATCCAGAGGGCTGTTGGTTAGGACACTGAGAAACGCCTGCCTGTGGCACAATATTTTACAAGATGAAAAATAGCTTTAGCAATACCATTGAACTAGACTTTTGCTGTAACAATTGCAATTCATCTTAGTGTTTTAAGATGGGTTCTGCTCTGACTTGCATGTTTTTCTCTCACTAGGAAGATGATGAGAGACTGATAAAGGAAATTCAAAATCAAGCTGAAAGTGAACAAAAGAAAAGAATTGGAGGTGAGTGGTCTTATTTGTGGCCTTGAGTTTGTATTTTCCAGGAATGCTCAGGATGCAGGGGATGTGTTGGCGTAGCAAGGGCTGAGTATCATGTTTTCTGTTCACATGTACATTATACGTATGAATGGTTCTGAACTGATTTTCATCGACTGAAAGAACTTGCATTTCTGTTCCATTGGTGCAATGCTGAGCTTGTAGTCTGGTCAAGGGTGTTTAGAGGAGATGATAAGTGGAGACCAGAGGGTGGCTGGTGAGTCGTGCCAGGCTCACTACCTACAGAGTGTTCAGTTGGATTGGCAGTAGCCTGGGAGCTGGTTGTCTGCCGAGGCAAAGTTACACGTATTACACCTGTAATAACTAGAAGTGAAATTAGTTTAGACATTCTCAATTCAGTCTCACATTAGTGTGACCCAACCAACCCATGAATTGTATTTGACCACAATTCTCACTGAGATACGATATGGAGTCACTGGTGAGGCAATTGTAACATATGTGACACAAGCTTTAGTTTGGGGTAAGATCGATTGGTGCAATTTGCAGGGATCTTTACCTAGCATCTAACAGGCGCTTTACCTAACCATGGGAATCAGGCTGGTCATAGTGGATGTGAAAACCCAACGGCTGTAACAATGATATCTCTCAATTAAACGTCTGAAAAAAAATGCATCCTAAACCGAACCAGAGCAGATTGTATAGTAATTCAGTTACAGCTGGAGATCTTCAGTTAACTCCCAACTGCCTCAGTTTTGATTTATTGGAGCCTGAACTCAACTCAAGGAATGATGTGTAGCAATGCTAGAATCAAAAGTGAATCCAGCATTGCTTTTCAATGCTAAAATGTGTCTTGTTTCAGAGCAATAACTTTCTTAGATACGGTGAAAAAAACAAAACTACTGGCGGATTCAGTGGAGGAACATAGACCTGTCGATGTACAATGTGTGCTTGGGACATTGTTAAATAGTTGCTTGTTGCAAGAATTCAGTTTGGCATATTTGGGACAGCCCCTGCATGGAATGGAATGGAATCGTCACACAGATCTTAGGTTTGATCCTGCTCTATGCTAGGTTAGCTGATCACTGTAGTGATGCCACAAATAGCTTAGCGTCCACAGGAGTAGCCAGTGAGAGGGCCCTGGAGAAAGTGTGTCTGGTGAATACTGGTCTTGGCTTTAATGCTCCCACAATTGAATACAAATACACAGTTACTACACTTCACAATATATCCTGTGAAGCGCTTTGAACCTTCTGGACGTGGTGCTGTATTATTAATGGCCAGCCTCTGAGTGCAGTAGCGGAGAGTGGCTAATTGACACTCGAACATCAGAAGAGACAAGAGAAGGAATTCAGTCTGACTCAGCCCTGAACGTGACCGATGCAGAGTTCCCTGTGAGTGGTTAACCGGTTCCTAATCCTCTTATCATTTTTGCTTGAATCCACTGCAGAGCAAGCTGTAAAAAGGATTGGGCCTCCACCTGAAGATCCTCCAGCCAAGACTTCTAGGCTGGGAGAGGGTGTCCAAGCGATGCCTCCTGGAGTCATTTTCAACCGAAATGATCTTCCTCGTCCGGCACCTGTGATTCCCGATTTCCCTCCAGTTCCCCCTCATTTCCAGGTGGCTTTCCCCCCTCCACCCTATTTCCATTTCAACTTTGATCCTTTGCGACACATCAATATTGAGCACGAGTACCCCATGCACTTTGGTCCACAGCCCTACCATCATCACGATCACCACCGCGGCCATCATCACCACCGCGACCATCACCACCACCGTGATCGCGACCATCACCACAATCACCACGATCAGGACCGCGACCATCATCACCATCACCATCATCCTCCTCCTCCTCCTCCTTATAGGCCTCATGGACATCCAAACGGCCCACCAATTTACCAACGGCGCTAGGAATGATTTATGTTCAACAATAACCTTGTACCTAGGCCAGAGCAGCATAACATTTAATGACCAGCAACTGAGCTGTTGACTTTGTTTGAAGCCAAAGAGATCTTTGGTGTTTGTTTGATGAACGTTTAAATAAAAGATGCAGATTTACTGTAAATAATGTTTAAATAAAACCTTACTTTTTTTTCCACTTGCAAATGTCAGATTTGCTTCTGTTTTTTAAAAAGAAATCCACTCGCAAATTTACTGGGATACATGATATTAAAACCATTGCAATATGTGTTACTGGGCTGTGAGGTGGATGCCGGACTATCGAGTTGCATTAGCCATTGGCGAGTGAGCTTTAAATCACCATTGGGGGAACCTATTCAGAGTAATACAGTATTCCATTGTAGTAATAATACTAATAATCCTTGTATTTGATATACGCCTTATACATTCCAGATGTCTCAAAGCGCTTCACAGAATACACTAAAGTGAATTGAGTATATTTTGTGGGCGAAATACGGCAGCTAATTGTGCACAGCAGTGTCCCACAAACTATTGTGGATTGAGTGACCAAACTTATTTTTTTGAAGGGATTATTACCCGCTGAGCGAACAGCCAAGCGACTAATAACTGGGTTCCAACTTGCTGCTCGGGTGTTGAGCAGTGAAGTTGCTCTTAGCTGATTGCTACCAGGACAGCAATGGGCATATCAAATGAGGGCAGAACTGGATTCAGCTGTGACGTCATCCACAACTTTTTCTTCTCCAAAGATTGCTTATCTTGGTCGGTGCAAGAACAACCTTTCAGTACAGATGAGGGTCATTTTGATCCTCGTGCCAAAACTGCTGCCTGTATTAATCACATTTCTCTGCTCATTCCATTAGCTTGTTATCTAGATGTGTGAATGGGGCTTATATAAGAAGTGTGATTGGAGCTCAGGTGTGGATTGTGTGTCTGTCACTGGAGAACAATTTTGGATTAAGACTTGGTCCTGTTCTAGAGACGTGAAGGTGTGGAGGTAATTAATGAGACTGATTTGTGTCTGTAATTTGCAACAAAACGCTCTTAATCTACTGCTGTAGAGGATTTACCTCTGAGACATGGACCTCAAACCACAAGTGCCTTGTGTTTAATATGATGTGACTGGACTGTAGCGGTCGTTCTGTAGTCTCTGGTTTAACAACGTTAGATGAAATACACTAATTGTTTTCTGCAGATGGGGCTTGAACCCACTACTTTCTGATTCAGAATCGAGAGTGCTACCAACCGAACCAGGCTGACACTTGGATTTAAACTGGTAAATCTTTGAAGAGAGTATATAGCATCTTAAACTCTTAGCAGCATAATAATAATAATAATAATCCTTGCATTTGATATAGCACTTTTCACGTCGGGAGGACGTCCCGAAGCGCTTCACAGAACACACTGTAAAGTGAATTGACTGTATATTTGTGGGCGAACGCGGCAGCCAATTGCGCACAGCAATGTCCCACAAACAGTCATAGATTGAAAATGACCAATTTATTATTGTTTTTGGTTTTGGAGGGATTATTAGGCTCTGTGTGGAGTAAGGAAACTTGCCCGAGGTTTCCCCTCTGCCTGGAATTGAACTCGGGTCTCTCGCTTGCAAAGCAAGTGCTCTAACCACTGAGCTACAGGACTCCGAATGGATGCTCTTCCTTTAATCTGAGTGAGAGCACATGCCTGTGGATGCCCTCATTGCTTTTGAAGACTGATAGCACTTTAAGGTTAATATTCATGGCAACTGGAATACAGCCAGACAGGAGACACATAAATCTTCCTGTGCCTCAGTTGAGTACCTGTAAATTTCAGTCATGAAGCTCCTGTGAACATAATACCCTTTGGGAAACTGTGTTAATGGCTGTTCACAGTGTGTGAGACACATCAAAGTGGTAATGGTGATGAGGGTTACTCTGAGCATTGGGGCTTAGCCAGAGGTCAGAGAAGTGGCTGGTTTCTGTATCTGAGTTATCGGATTTGAGAATCCCTGGAAAAAGCTTTTATAACCACCTTATGTCAATGTCTCAAACTGCTTTACAGTTTTGTCAAGTGTAGTAACTGCTTTTATAGGAAATTTACCATTACCCTCCAGGGGGTGGAGGAGGTGGGAGGTGGGGTCTCCACTGGGATTCTCTTAACCCTGCAAGCCAAAGGCATAACGGGTCGGGTGGTCCTAGCTGGACAAGCAGCGGGAAAACTTGCGAGACTGCTCACGATGGCAAGCTTTATGGTTTAGCTGGTTAAACTTATCTATTGTCCACATATGTACATATTCCAACAGAGGTCACTAGCTTTCGTTTTAATAAAACATCAAAGGATATGCCTCTTAAAGGGGCATGTGTAATCTAATCTGTTCAAGAGTCCCTCATGTGGAGCAACAGACAGTTGGTGAGATGTTACAGTGAAATATCACCATTTTCTGCGTTTGTCAAAAACCAGCAGGAAATCGCACAAGACCAGAGTAACGGAACCTTTCAAAAGCGAGCCCCCAGCTTGAGTCATGATGGACTCCAAAGGTATGATAACATGACTTTTGAACTTCAGAAACATTTGGAACAATAAACATTGCGTCCAGATTCCTCCCCGCTAATTAAACCTGTGTATCAGTGCACTGGAAACACAGAACACGGAGGTCAAAATAGCTGAGTATCATTTACAACCACCCCCTGTAACACAAACTACCATTAGACAGAGACATCTGATGTAAGAGAGCAGCAAGGAATTCAAGAATAATTTACAGTCTGCTCCACTTGTGGATAGAACACTTGTACAGCCATCTGTGTCTAACCATTTGCGGCTGTGATGTCCCTTCCTGCATGGGACAGCGTATTAATGCTCGTTGGATTTGATAAGCACTTTATCACAGTCAGTTTCAAAGCGCTTCCAAGAATATACTGTAAATTGTAGTCACTGAATGTTTGTGGGAGAAGGCCGCGGGGCATGAAGTGAATGCCCAGTTTCCTGTGGTTGGTCTGTACAGATCAGGTACTCGCAGAATCTGCTCCCACAGACCACTTTGACTTTAGGTATGAAGAGTGCAATATTCAAACAGCTTCAGCATTGCCACTAATGGTGTCAAACGACATCAGGGACGTGGGGCCCGGTCACCAATATAAACAGTAAAGCCGGGACGCCCTATTGACGTTTGATTCCAATGATAATTGATGTACATCTTTGGTTTTAAACTTATGAGTGAGTTCGAAGGTTAATTGGGAGCAGCTGCTCTCGTAATTACGGCGATCCAATAATGTCATTGTAGCTCAATACACTTTAAAATCACCATGAACCTCCTCCAGCGCTAATCAGGGTTTAATGGGCCCCGGGCTCTGGCATATTGCACCGTACCAGACATTCTCCCAACTTATCTCTACATCCCTGACTCTTCCTCTTGTATCCCATAAATACATTGGATCTGCCGATCTTGGTGTGGTGGGTGCATCGACCTCAGTAAATCTTTAGCTGATCATAAACAGCCACATGCTGCGCTGATCCCTGTAGAGTAAGTTGTGTTTTGGTGCTGAACAGGGATATTAATAAAGAAGGGTCAATAGCTTTATTGTTTGTGAAGCAAAGACCCCTGTGACACTGGCTCAGAGACATAGTACTCCTGTTGATGATGGGACGTCCTCCTGACGTGAAAGGCGCTTTATAAATGGAATCTTGTTGTTGATGTTAGCCGAGCTAAGTTTTTGTCACTCTCCCCTTGGAATCCAGAAGGTTAAGGGTTCAGACCCCACATCAGGACTTTGAATTCGCATTCCAGAACTGACTTGTCCCATTAAAGACACAGTGTCATCAGTCTGTTTATTGACAATCACAAGCTGCGAGCCTGGCCCTGCCTTTGGCTTCAATGCCAACAGAGCTGCACATGGCTAAAGCCTGCTACCATCTTACATCTTCAAATAAATTGTTTGTTCATCCAACAAATGTTGCCATATTTGTCTACATAACGCTCTACATTAACCTCATTTGTATTAATTCCCAGATGCCCATCCAGTTAACCTTAGGTTCTGTTGGCTCATGATTCTGGTGGACCTTTAGGGACTTTCCCGCCATCATTATTTCACAAATGACCCGATTAATTTGATTTCTACTCCCCCCACCCCCTCCCCCGCCTCACCCATTGCCCCCTCCTCATCCAATTCTTCAAATGAATTGTCTGTTCGTCTTGTCTCGGGTGTTGCCTGGCTTAGGTTGGTAGCCCTCTCCACTCTGTGTCAGAAAGTTCTAGATTCAAGCCCCACTTTGTGGACTTTAGAGTTTATTGTCTAGGGCTAGGCTGACATTATTAACACTGACAGGGGTGGGGGAATTGTGATCAAAGAATCAGAATAATACAGCACAGAAGGAGGTCATTCGGCCTATCGTGTCTGTGCCGACTCTTTGAAAAGAGCTATCCAAATGAATCCCACCCCCCCCCGGATCTCTCCCCAAAGCCCTGCAAACTTGTCCTCCCCAAATAATTATCTACTTCTCTCTTAAAAGTTGTTATCAGTGATCAAGTGAAAGATTATGGAGAGGTAAAAGGCATTTGGAATAGAAATGTACACATAGCACCAAATTGCACAGTGACTAACTTTGTATCCCAATTTCCCTGATTGGAAATCTGGTCATTTTATTTGTGAATCTTAGGAGGTGACAACCTGCTGATTCTAATTGGTCCCTTTCTTTGTTCTCTGAAAAGGACACAAAGAAACTGAGAATGTAGTTTCCGCTCGGCTGATCTGATTGTCTGAACCAGTCAAGACAACCACACAACCCTATTGAACACAGCTGGTTACGTGCTGCAAAGTAAATGAGGTTGTTCTGCAATGGCCATCAGTGGAGGCAGCACTGTCACAACCACTTTGTAAGTACTGGTCACTTACTCTGGCCAGAGTTCAGCCCACGCCAGGACAGGCCTGTCTGACACGTGCGGAAACCCATCACCTCGCTTAAGAATACTCAAACCAGATCAAGAGTTCCATATGTCAATTTCCCTTTGTCTACGAGGTAAGGTCAGTGCTATTCTTTCCCACCACTGGTGGCTGAGCATTCAGCCAATCCCCCTCGCCCTCTGGGCCCCTCACTCTGTGACCTCTCCTCTTTCTTGTGTGTTTTTAAAATGCAGTGCTGCCTCCACTGATGCTGGCTGTTAATGGCACTGGTATGATTTATCCAATGTCTTAGGTTTGGGTATAAAAGAAACAGATAGATCTGCAGATTCTAATGAGTGGCTGCATCGACTCGATGGCTTTCCCAGACAGAGAAGCCAGCCATTTCCCCCCGTGTAATCTAGTCATGTTGATATTGTGTGCTCTGCCCTCTGTGCCCCCCCACCTCACTTGCCCCTCCTCCGCCACCAGCACAAAGCCCAGCCGCTCCACACTCTGCGGGCTTTCCTTCTGTTGTCAAGGCAACAGCTCCCGCTGATGAATGCTTCCACCATGCTATTTTGCCCAAGATGTTCAGGCACCGAATTGCCTTTTGAGCTTTGCTGATCACGGCACAGCCCAGGAGAAACCAATTAATTTAAGTGTAAATTGTTGCCCCAGTGCAAAGGGTTTAACTCATTTGTTTCGGACTGGAGTTTATAATTAAGGAGTGAGATAAACCGTATCAATGATTCTCACATATATGGGTTTATCAGTGTCTCCCTCCCCCATCCCAGTATTGCCGCGGTGCCTCTTCTAGGATTTTTCCTTTGATTCATTGAAGTAATGTCACAGAGTCACTGACCCGGAGCTAGTCAGGCCCCAATTTGGGTCTCGGTTGATGCTCCAGTACAGGGTTGAGGAGCTCTGCTGTTGGGAGGTGCTGTGCGTACTTCAAGACTTCAAGATCCCCACCCTTGTATTCAAGTCCCTCCACTCTTCTGCACCCCCCGACTTCTCTGACCTCCTCGCTCCTCAAAACAGTACCCGTTGCCTTCGTTCCTCCAGGTCTGGCCTCCTCCTCGTTCCCCGAATCCTCCGCTCCACCCTCAGCGGCCATGCCTTCAGCCACTGCGCCCCGAGGCTCTGGAACTCCCTCCCTCACTCCCTTCCTTCCTATTTTCAGGTCTCTGCTGAAGACCTTTCTCTTCGACCACGCCTTTGGTCACATTCCTCCCCCTCCCACTTTGTTCGGCCCCAGGATCCGTTACTGTAAAGCTCTCTGAGACGCCGTCCGGTATTATATAAATCCAAGTTGTTGTTGTTGTTGTCCTTCAGCTGTGACGTTAAACCCGAGGCCCTATTTATTTGTCTGTTCAGGTGGACGCTGAAGAGTGGAGGGTTTGTACACGAGTTGGGGGTTGGATTCAGGAGTGGTTGAAATATTAGGAAAAGGGAAGAGAATCGCTCCTGATCTCCTGGCCATCAACCCTTCAAATAAATTGATGATTCACTTTGTGGCGGTTTCTGGGACATTCTTGTGTGCAAATTGGCTGCTGTGATTGCCTACAACACACCGTCAGTTCATTTGACAACAATTACCTGTAAAGAGCTTTGAGATGCTGTGTCAGACATAAGGATTATTTTCTGTGATCGAATTGTCTGCAATGCTCACTGCTGAAGCTATTGGCAGAGAGATAACAGACCAAAGGAACCTATTCTGTACGGAAAACATTGGTAGAGGTACATGGAGGGGGAACGGGTTCCCATGGATCTCATTGAGGGAAAAAGCAGTGGAAAGAATCGTGTAGATCTGTTTATTGGAATGCTTCTGTCTTGGAAGTGAAATTTGATAACACTTCACAACTGACTGTGCTGAGCACTGGGGCATTAAAGTAAGTCAAGCTCTCTGCTTGGCTGGTGAACTCCTATTTAAATATGTGGCTGAAGGCAGAGACTATGTGGCGGAGAATGCAAGCTTCTTTGGGAGTTTGCAACTCTGTGCTTGAAGTATTATTATTATTATTATAACGTTCTATGTTGCACCTTCCACCATATAGTGACCGAGACGGTTGCAGCCTCAAAGACTGGGGTTCGCTGATGTGCTTCAGCTCTCATGTTTTTAATCAACTCCATAAGAAAAGTTATGGTTCATAAAGCTCTGATTTCACAGAACATAAGCACAGTGAGAATAAACCTTATTTTGAGGGGGTGGGAATTAGTCTTCAGCATGTAGTTATAAACACAGAGTCGAGGGGGGTGGAGGGAAGATGACTGAAGGCATGGACGAAGAAAAGGTCTTGAGACAGGCCTTGAAGGAGGCGGTAAGGTGGGCGGAGGTACCCTTGCTTCCCAAGTATTTATCGATCTTGTTTTAAAAATGACCCAATTGATTGCGCCTCTTAAGTACCTTCTGGGATCAGACGTGAAGAATGGGCACAGATTGACCACACCCAGGGATTTGTGACACTTCACGAGTTTTTGGTTTAAGAGGCAAAACCACTGTTAAAGCCAAACAACTTCCCCTTTCTGCTGAGCAACATTTTAGGTTGTGTTTATATATGCATGGGGGGAAGGCCAGGGGCGATCAGATTCCCTTTCTTAACCCTATTCTTGTGTGCAGCTGTTCACTCCTGTAACAATTCTCTATTGACTCAAGTCGGCAAATCGACTGACCTGTGCTTGACATCCGAAGTTGGTATCCCTGGAGGTGGGAGTAAATCTTAACAGATATTGTGCAGTGAAATATAGCTAAGAGAAAAAAAAGTATTCTGTGGACAGTCATTTAAGAAAAGACAAAGGGGCTTTGAGAAACAGACAGACAGGCTCCCAGCGAAACAGATTGCTGTCAATTGCCAGCAAACTCTTCAAGTCTATCTGAATAACTCCCACATTCCTGCCTTTGTGCTGAGAGTGTAGATTTACAGTATAAACACAAAGAGGAAACCAGAAGCTTGAGAGGCCCGGTTGTTGGTTTTGTGTGTCCGCTTTTACAGTCAATAGGTACAAACGTGAGATAAAGTTTGACAACAATTGAGTCATGTACAAACATGTTAAAGGTGTAAATGGATATCTTGGACAAACAGGGTGATTAATTGTGTTGAGCTCCCTCAGCTAGGCAAGTGGGTAAAAGCACTGGGCATTTTCAACTTCATGGAGTCCTGTAGCTCAGTGGTTAGAGCACTCGCTTTGCAAGCGAGACACCTGGGTTCAATTCCAGGCAGAGGGCGAAACCTTGGGCAAGTTTCCTTACTCCACACAGAGCCTAATAATAATCCCTCCAAAACAAAACAAAAAAAAACAATAATAAATTGGTCATTTTCAATCTATGACTGTTTGTGGGACATTGCTGTGCGCAATTGGCTGCCGCGTTCGCCCACAAATATACAGTCAATTCACTTTACAGTGTACTCTGTGAAGCGCTTTGGGACGTCCTCCTGACGTGAAAAGCGCTATATCAAATGCAAGGATTATTATTATTATTATTATTTGCAAGTTAAACACAAACCTTGTAATTTATAATAATCCTTGCCTTTGCAACCACACCTCATCACAAAGCGTAGTGACTGCCTTAACTTGTAGGCAAAGACATCAGACAATTTGTGCACAGCTGTAAACCACAAATAAAAGTGTTTTTTTTAATCTGGGGAATTGTGGGTCAGGACACCCTGATCTTTTTGAATGAGCCACAAGATCATTAACATCCACCTGAACAAGAGCCAAGTTTAACATCTTATCTGAGGGTTGACACTTCCTCCAGCAATGCATTGGAGAAGTCAGCCTCAACTGAGCTTGAATTCCTGACATAGGGCTTGAACCTACAACCTTGTGACTCAGAAGTCAGAATATTAGCCTTTTGTCTCGTAAAACTGTGTGTGTAAAACTCTGGCTGACAGAACTCAATCAAGACATTTAGATGGTTATGGGTATTGTATAATTTTAAACTGATGCAGACAGTTACAGACCTCTGCCTAGCTCTTGCACCATTTAATAGCTTGATTTGGTTACTAGTGCGCTCCATGGAAACATGCATTAAATTCTGTTAAATCGGGAGTTGGCAAGAATGTCATTTCTCCATTCGGGACGAGATAGAATAGGTTTGTTGCTGGGCCAGGTCCCACAGCCACCATGGACAGGACCGTGGACAGCAAAAGGCCAAGACAACAAACCTCTGACAAGATCCATCAACCACTGTTTCTGGCATTTGCAACAAGTTTTATTTGACATGACATTTCAAGTTATATAAACGACATGTACATAAACCAAAGTTATAAAGAAAAAAATCCAAAATGAACACGAGGAGGTCACTTGTACAAGATACATTTGAGTGGAATAGTTTTACAGCTTTTACAAGGTGAAACCTTTAAACAACAACCAGCCTGCACCATTTTTCAATGTCATGATAAAGTTACGATTGACCGATATCCTAATCAATCTTCATAAAATGAAGAATCAACCTTCTTGTATTTGAAGGCATCAGGCGCAGAAGCAGATCTACAATTTTTAAAGCTCCCCACGATTTTTACAACTGTAGCCAGGACTTCCAATAATGACTACTTTCCAGACAGTAAGGTTTCTCTCCTTCCCCCACTCAAAAAAGCTTGTGTTGATTAATTGAGAAGTTACCACATAATTGATAGGCTACATCCCTCCACAACGCTCTTCTCATTCCCTACACGATCTGCTTCTGGGACAATACTTAAGAGGTTCCACATTAAACAGGAAACGTGTTTTGGCTATTTCTGCCCCCATTTCCCCCCCACATCATAGGACAAGCTACAAGATCACATGCATTCTCCAGAAGTACAGCGCTCAGTCAGTGATTGCAATGCTAAATTATGAGATTACTCCTACCATGGAGCCAAAAAAGTTTCTTGGTCCACAATGCCTGCCCCTCTTTCACCTGCAGAATCAACAGCTATACAAGATTGGTTTCCAAACAGCATTCATCCTCTCTCTCTCTCTCTCTCTCTCTCACACACACACACACAATATATATATTTAAGTATTGGTCACATTTCTCTCACTCAAGAGACTGACCCACATGGCAACTCAAACCCATTTGCTTTGATCTGTCCAGACCTTGGTTCTATCTACACCCACCAGATTCTCCAGTTTTGACCAGGTCCTTCTGCCAGACCCACCGCCCTCCTGTAGGCAGTGTTGGCATGAGGGAATGTAAAGAAGGGATTGGGACAGATTTTCCAGTTCTATGAGAGATGTTTTGGGTTTTCACGTGTTCCAGAATTAACCCTGTTTTGAACAACTGCCAGTGTGAGATGCATTTCCCCTCCTCTTCGTCAGCAATTTTGAGGAAGGGTGTAAAAAACAAAGTAGAAAATGCTCAAAAGTCTGCACTTTTTCCAGTTCTAGTGATGAATGAAATGGCAGTGGCCAATCTAACAGGAATTTTCCCAGATAGAATCGATTACAAGATTGTACAAATTAGGAAGAGTTTCTATTGAATGGTTCCTCGTAACTGTGGGTTACAAGTTTCACTGGATATTTGGCTTTGAGGAATTACATGTGAGATGACATCAAAGGGGAAAAAAGAAAGTTACAAAAACAAATAATTGCAAAAGGTTTGGCATTAATACAGCAACTCATGTGGCTCAGAAGAGATACAAAATCACTTCTATTCACTAAAACATGCAGCAATCTCTACGTCTAGTGCAATTATGCATTATGAAAAACAAAACTTGGAAAACATTGAATTTATAGAATGGAAAAAAACAGGAGAAATGGAAACTGACAACCAACATAAGACCAGCTCATGTCAATCCAGATGATACAACTTTTATTTCAGGAGATGACTTTCTTTTGTTTAATAGAAAAACAAAGTTTCCCATCCAGACTTCCTACAGTCTACACATCAATGGCTTGCACCAGCTAGGTTCTGAAGGTTCCTACAGTTGGAAAGAGACAGTTGACGACTGCAGCGATGCCATAGTCATCCACTTCAAAATGGCAGCTGTGTAGTTACAAGCACTAGGCTTGAATCTGTTCAACGTGATTTAGCTTTACGCAACTCTCGCCTGAAATGTTCTGCAGAGATTACAATGTGGGGAGGGAGGGGGTGGGAGAAATGCTCAATGTCTTCAGCTGGAAGATTAGAGAGCAGCAGGTGGACAAGTCCTGGGAGCTTGATCACATGCTGCAATGTACCCTTTGCACAGCTGGAGGAGGTTCTGTGTTGCTACTCAGGGCAGCACTTTTCCCTCAAGGCAGCTAATTAGGATGAAGCAGGAGGTCCTGGAAACAGACAGCCCCAAAGAGTCCGCATTATGTGGCTGGCAGATTCGAACCTCAAGCAATGCTGTTGCTCGAACCTGGAGCCTCAGGCATGTGAAGAGCCTTTGCCAGACCTCAGTCTGGTGAAGTGGCACCTGTCCAGATAACCCATACAAAATGAATGGCTTCTTCTGAGAACATTAAAAAGGGTAAAAGGTAGAGAGATTGGAACTGTACAGAGATCTATAACAAGTGATACCACCTCAACAGCAGCTACTGCAGCACCAAAACGAGTAGAGAAAACCAGGTGTGACAATAACATTGGCTGGGATACATAGTGAAAGGCAGGCAGGCAGGCCCATGGTAGGACGGCACACAATGATGCTGGAAAGCCACGTATAGATAAAGTGCATTTAATACTCCCACAGGGTGGAGGTGTCAATGGCATCTGCAGACGCCTTCAGCACACCAGCATGGTCTCCCTTCAGGTACTTCCCGTCCACCTTGATGGCAACCTTGTTGTAGTCGCAAAACTCCATCAGGAAATCGACAGGTTTGTCACTGCTGCTGGTGACTGATGAGTCATTCCCCACCATCCAGTATTTGCCGGTCGTGTCTGCAGAGAAGTTTGAACACATCAATACAAGACCAGATCTGGGGGGGCGGAGGGGGATTTTTGTATCGAGAAGCACAATTCTACATCAGTGATGAGAATACTCCATGTCTCCCATCTCCTCCCCCACCTGCACGATCTGAGTCTCTGCTCTCAAATCCCGCTCCCAGTCTCCCAAACTCTTGCCTCTATATTCACCTTGCCAGCACCCCCACCTTGCTCAGGATCCCACAATATCCACGTTCACCTTCAATACAACTTGTCACGATGTAGAGATTTCACAGCACTTTCATTCAACACTTGTTAAGATTGTTTGTTAAGATATGTCAAATCCTGTGGGCCCGGAGTTAAATAAACAACAAACCCCAAAAGGGCAGTAAGTGGCTCACTTTCAGGCCACCGGGAACAACGACACTCTGTGTTGCTTGTGCCTTAACATTGGCTCCAGGGATTACATTGTAAACAGGTTAGAAATAAATAGCCTCCAATCTCACTCACGCCAACAGTTTTCCAGTCCTCCGCTAACTCACTTTCCATCTTCTAACACCAGTGCCTCATGTTGTCTGAGTTCTCTGCTCTATATGAAGCCAACGCTTGCCATCTCAGTCTCTTGCTCCCAAGTGACTGCTCTTCACATTCAAGTCTGGACAGCTCGTTTAAGCATCCGAGACGTTACCCCTGGTGAAGGCCGCTGGAGAATTATAGAATCGTACAGCACAAAAAGAGGCCATTCGGCCCATCGAATTTGTGCCGGAAGTACTCTCACAATCCACAAACCTCAGCACAGCCCATTTACACAACAAGCCAACCAACTCTTTGCTTCCAAAACAAGTTCTTACAGCAGCAGCAGGAATACTACAATGAAGATTTTTCTAAACCGAATGTCAGACTGCTCGAGGATCCGTTTGGCTGTAGAGGTTTGCAGAGTTGGGCAGCCACGTGCCCAACCAGGCGCTGCCAGGACAGTAGCCACATGAAGAGATTTGGGAGATCGGAGAAGGTGGAAACATTTACCTTTGAAGTTGTAAGCACCATCATTGCACTCCAGGTGGAAGACATCGTACGAGGACCGGTTGGAATCCAGGGTTCCTGTCACCTTTCGGCAACCGATAAAGCCATGCTCTCCGCGGAGAACAATTATAGGCCTGTTAATGAGCTTCATAACGAGTTCCTCACTCTCCCCTGGAAAAAAGATTCACACACATTCAGTTATGGCAACAAGGCAGTTAAATGGAGAGACCAACCCACAGAGTGTGTTTACACAGAGTAACCCAGTAATACAGGGGATATCCCAGATCAATGATATCGTGCTGCTCAAGGCAGCAGCCGGTGGCTGAGCTTTCAGTCACTTCACCACTGGTCTTTGAAGTCTCTCCCTAAATCCCGGCACCTCACGCTCACTCCCTCGTCACTTTCATATCCCATCTTACAAACCCCTCTTTGGCCCCATCTCATTCACTTGGCTTGAACTTCCATTTAAGTTTCTTGTAAAAAGCACAGAGTTGTTTATTTTCTTGCATGAAAAGTGTTAAGATAATCACAAGTTGTTAATATCTGTAGTTAAGCAGCGAGAGAATTGTATTATGAAATCATTCAGCCCCAAAAAAACACCCCAGAGCCTTTAACCTGGTGGCAGATGTGGTAACATTTATTAAAGTCATTTCACTAGGTAGTGAAGCAGCATAGTATGCGTGTGTGTGCGTGGCTGGGTGGGGGGAGACAACATGACGAGAGAACCACTTTAGCACTAATGTAGAAATACAAAACACTGTTTTTTCCCTGGAGACAGTTATTAGATGGAACAAAAGCACTCAGTGGGAGGACTTTAACCATAGTGAACTTTCCACCAGCAGCGCAGGAAACACACTCAGTGATGAAGTTTACACTTTAGGAGACTGAGTGAGCAGCAGCAGCAACAGTGAGAGGGACATGAGAGATCACTTGACACCCTCAATGCAAATAATCTGTTCAGAGATTCTCTCCAGAGTGAAAACACAAGAGATTATTGCTCAGTGCAAGTGGGTCCTAATCTGAAGTGTTCCACAAACAAGTCTCCAAAAGGGAGACTTCACATTGTCTGGGGAACTTGTATTTATTGTCCGTTGATTGGAATCTCCTGTCACCAAGCGCCTTGGGGAGTGAATGTGCAATTTTAATTTCTATTGTATTATGTGATTGCACTGCTCACAATTGACGCAGTGACATTGCTAAAGTGTGGCTGAAATATTGCATAGTTCTAAAGCAGTTCTGTTCCTCAACCAACGCCCCCCCATTCCCTCCCTCTTCCACACACACAAAATACTGAACCCATTTGTTACCCCTTTCAGACTAAGAGCATGACCCATGCTGGTTTAATGAGTAGCAATGGGAAAATATATTTGTGCTTATTGGCATTCATCTTAAAATAACAGAGCCCAGATCATCACAAGATCTAATGGAATAAAGGGAGGGAAAAAGCAAAGGAGCAACATGTATAAAAGGTACAAATTGTTCAGCCATCTCCAGCACGAGTCAGAGCCAAACTTACCTGGAGTCTCTATGCTAGCACACAGCTGGCCATTCTTTTTAGGCGCCACGTATTTTCCATTCGCGGCCTTCAGAGTGATCCTCCGCTCGTGCCACTCAATCTCAAAATAGCAATTGGCATTTCTACAAAGCAACATGAAGCAGTTATTTCACCACAACAACATGCAGGTTTAGACCAACATTGCTCACAGTAAGGTCACTGGATTGGACTGCCCTTAGCTAAGAAGCCTTAGATGTAAGAAGTCCCCTATTGTCGTGTGCCTTTTAGGATACACACGCACGGTTGGAACTGGAATCCTGGTACTCTGGCTCACTGCGTACACAGCTAAGTTGTACACTCACTTTGTGGAGGCTGTGGACTGTACCCCTCCATTCGCAGTCAGAGTCCAGTATTTACCGGTGCAGGTTCGGAAGGCACACTTTTTGGTCTCTCTGCTGATTTCTAACTGAAAGGTTTCCTGGTCACTTTCTTCATCCTGGTTAGCAGACAGGTCCATACCTAACAGGGAACAGAGAGAGAGAAAATAATCACATGTCAGATTCACCAACACCTGGGGGTCGAGTCACGATTTGGATGAAATGAAAACATAAAAAGCTGCACTTGACTGGTCTTTTCTCACTTCGCTGAACTGGACAACATTAGTTATAGGAACAAGGCTTCACTCTCGCTTATTATTAAGCATAATCCTTGCATTTTATACAGCACTTTACCACTGGTTGAGACATCTAAAAGCACTTCCTTCACACAATACACTGTCAAGTATTTAAAGTGGAAACACTGTAAAGTGACTGTATTTTTGTGGGCCAATGCGGAACCCAGTTTGCGCACAGCAACGTCCCACAAATAGCCATGGGATCAAATGATCAACTTTGAGGTATTTCAGCCACATAGCATTTGCTGCCTGAACTATTGGTGGAAACGCATCTGCATTTTCTTTCCAATAGAAACAGAAAACATAGCCGTGGTAACAAAACAAACGGTTTTAAAATTTGCACGCTGAGATTTAAGATTAGACCTTAAATCGAAAACATCTGATTTCTGAAACATATATAAACATCCAGAAGAATTTTTTTAATTAATTGGTGGCTTGTGACTTTGAAAGAACTTCCAGGAGTGTGTTTTTTATAAAAAGATAAAAGCTGCAGAAAGTCTATAAATCTGCAGACACCTACCCCACATACGTGTGTGCACGCGTGTGTGTGGATGTCTATACACAAGGACAGCTTCCAGTTTATACTGTTGTGCTTAAGAGTTTTACCAGGCTGTTGGTAAAACGCCAGCTTCTGAACTGAAACTTGCCAAAGTAAATATACAGCCAGTCATTTCCTTTTCAGTGGCATATTTTTGGCTGCAAAATATCAAATCGTAGGATTATGCTCGTAAACAGCCAGTCAGATAAACCTGAAATATTGCTCAAAGGAGAGGAAAACACTTTACACACTTGTTTTTAAATGTCAGGCTTGGTTCCTTGAACATCCTACTGTACACAGAGCTGTGTCAGAGAATACTATAATAGTGTAGACCAGCGCAAGGCTGGGAAATGAAACCACCATCCACATAATAAACGTGCAAGAGGGAATGTGATCTCAAGCAGTGTAGGTACTAGAGATTAATATGCTTCCTGTGATCACTTTCCCAACCTTCTGTCCCAAACCCGCAAACAGTCCCCATCAGTGCCATTACAACAGCTCAGTGCGACTATTGATCAGTCATTCTGACACTGTCACAACTCAAGGTCGTCAGATCAGGGAGACCAGAGAATTGTATCAGAGGAACGATAGCTGGCCGTAACCTGTGGGAAAACAGGTGAGCCAAGTAAAATGACAAGAGACACCTTACTGCATTGCAGGAATGTCACATAGAAAGTCAATTGTTATTGATTCCCCCCCGCCCAAGTCAATAATAATCTTTGCAATTAATATTGTGCTTAGAACATTCAAAGTGTCTCAAAACACTTCACAGCAATTGTAGAAACTTGTATCTGTGGGTAAATAAGATATTTGTACAAGCAAACACAAGGTTAGATTATAAAAGGCATTTTTTTTTGTCAACCAGGTGTCTGACACATGCAGAAACCCATCAGAATGCTTAAAGTATTGTATACAAACCAACCTGAGAACTCAATGCCTCAGACCTGCACATGGAAATCCCACATAGATTGTTGGTATGGAATGCGCTCTCTCTCCCTGGAGGGACGCTTACCTAATTCCGGAAAGTATTAAGCGCAGGTTGGTAAGAGCCAAGGCTTGGGGACCCCAGAGTGTGCGTTAGGGTAAATGCTGGAGTCTCACCAGCAGAGCACCGCTGACACCACAAACAACTAAGTGTAGATTTCACGACTGTGCTGTATTATAGACGACAATTTCTGTGAAGCAGCGTTTGTTTGAATAACCGCAGCAGAGAAACATAATCGATTTCTCTCAAGAAATACTTATATTATGCAGATATTGTAAATAAAGAACGCTGCTACATAGAGACAAAGGGTCAAAGTAAGGGTACACCCTTCCTCGCTATCCACCCCAACCCCTTCACATAAATTAAATTGAGTGACGAGAGGAAATGCAATGCAAGCTCAGCATCAGTGAAAACAGCACATGTCTGGGGGAGGGGAAGAGAAGAAAAAGGAACTAAATTGAGCCAAGCGAGAGGTTGTAGGTCAACCAAAACAAGTATAATGAGGCCTCGCGATGACCAGTGAATGGATCAAAGAACAGAGCAAGGCATTCAATGTGTGTGTCTGAGAGATCAGAGCATTCACTAAGGAACAGCTCTGATTATGTAAGCCTCCAAGCAAGGGAGTAAGGAACCTTCCAGGTATAAAACTATCCAGCCAATATATACACACAAAATATATTGGCTGGATAGTTTTATATATATTTCATATATTAATAATAATCCTTGCATTTGTTATAGTGTCTTACCACATCTACAAGACATTTATATAAATCTATATATAAAGTATTTTCACCAGGACATTGGCAATGGGTTGTTGTGGGATCTGTCCACAATCCAATTCCCTCCCCCAATGAGAAGATAACGAGTGGTTATTTAATAGGCTTCTTTATGTACAACTAGTTTACAGCTGGGTTAGTTACTAGAGACACAACAAGCCACTAATCTCTCTCCAGAGCAGTAGGTGTCTACCTTCCTAAGTAAGAAAGCAGCCAATTCAAAACAGTTTGTTGTGGACAATTTGCTGGCGCTGGCAATTATTTATCTGAAGTTCCATGAATAGAAATTGTTTATAGCCCAAGCAGGTTTTATTTTTAAGGGGGAGGAAAGAGTAGAGAGATAAGGAGGTGGAAAAACAGTACCTTTTTTTGTACAGCACATCTAAACTTGGGAATTTGAGGCCCTTTTTTGTACATTTTCTGCCTTTGCTAGCAATTTGTGGGTTCCAGAGATGCAGAAATTGACGTTGTAATTTAAATCAGTGTAGATCACAATGTCGGCTCTCACTGATCAGCCTCGCTCAGTCATAATGAAGAAAATCAACTTAGAAATGAAAAACTTCCCAACAGACGGATATGAATCTTTGTTTTTATTGTGCAAGAAAGAAGGAGAGAAGAGCAAAGAGAAAGGAGAGCAAGAAAATAGAGCGAGAGAGAAAGAGAAAAGGAACATCTAAAGGAGTGTGTATTTACACAACCTCATTGCTCTTCGCTCAGCCCCTTACACCAGGGAGCTGCGTGAGCAGATACACTCAAGGGATGGAAGGACAGCCACTGACCTTACACTGGGGAAGTTTGGCTAAACATTGCAGATGAGCACAAGGAATGCTCTTTTTTCCGCCTCAAACTAAACAAGGTCTCAGACTTTTTTCCCTCACGACCACAGAGATTGGCCTTCATCCAGTCATATTTATTTTGGAAAATGGAATACTCATTCCGAAATGCCAGAAAATTTTGAATATTGCAGTAAATCTTCTCCACACACACACACCCCTCCACCCCTAACCACACTTCATTCCCATAGTCCTCACAGACTTGTCAGGAGGATCAGATGCCTTTCCTCAAAGAAAAAAGAGCCAAACCCAGGTTTGGAGGTGACAATGAGCACAGTCAGGCTGGGACCTTTGCCAGAGCTTGAATTGAGATCACCCAAGGCTGGGCTAACGCACTGCTAAAGCCACCAATCTTAACGCCAGCATCATCAAAGGTCATCTGTCTGCCCTCACAGTGGGTGGGGGTGAGGTGATTGGAATATAGAAGCCGACAGGAACAGTGTTTTTAGAAGCGGTGAAAAAAACCATTTTCTCTCCATCAGTTACCTGGATTTCAATAACTGCCCTCATGAAGGGTGCTCGCAATTGCAAGTTGTTGAACTCTCAGGTTCCATCTTTCCCGGGAGTGTTTTTAAAAAAATACTGAACAGAGAAGATGAGCCATAATTGCAGGAAATGGAAGAAATCCTACACAAGGTACTGCCCATTATTATACAAACATCCACATGTGGGTGTGTACTGTCTATACATTGTTTCACACTATTGGAGACATCCTCTTGACACAGCTAAAGGTATAAAGCTGCAGGTCACGTCTCGTTACGCTGTCATTTCCGTTCGACTCACCGCAGGGAAGCCAGAAGATTAACAAAAACGAGCTCTGAAATATTAAGCTTTTGTTTTTTTTTAAAAAAAACAACCCCATCTCATTCTGCAATCCTCTTATTGCCAGGAAGCACCATGTTACATGTATATGTAAGTCTGTCAACCACCAACCACGATAGAGACGTGTGTAAACAGCTCAGAGAGGAGGCCCTAACTCAAGAGGTTAGCACCACAAACAAATACACTACAAGTTTCCTTATTACAGCATTGGTGACCAGGGTATTGATACCACTTTGTGAAGAGTGATAACAGCCCCAATCTCCCTCCTCCCCTCCCCCATTCACTTTGGTAACAGATCCTTTTAAGATTCTTTAGTCCCTCCTCCCTCCCCTCTCCCAGGAGAGCAGAAACAAGAAGCCCTTTGAGTGAGCAAAATCCAATAGAATAGCATCTGGATAATTAGGCAAAAGCAGCTTCTATTAAACTCAATTGATTGTGGAGGAGGAGAGATGTTATATTTTTAAAATGTCTAGATCCCCTCTGTACCTCAAGCAGTCTTTGCACGAATGATGTTCTTGAACAAATGGAAATAGTATCTCTCCCTTTTCCATTCATCCGGCTCTAAATTCCAGAGCCATTACTGCAATAGGGAACTGCAGAAGGAATTTGTTTCCATTCTACAATAGACGCTCTAGCCTCGTCCCCAAGGTAATCACTGAAAGGCATTCAACAGATTACTATGCGCATTTGTGAACTAAAGACAAGGCACCCAGATGTCAGCTTGGCTCAGTTGTTGCCCTCTCACCTCTGGGTCACAAGATCACATGATTGGTTTGGATAAAGAAGGCCCTTCAGTCAATTTGATCTCATCCTTTCAGAAAACCCACCCCACCAGGGTGTCTGAGCAGCCCAAGAGGAAATATTTAAATAAGATTTACATCAGCACAGTTTG